AGTTGCAAAGAAGGGTATGAGTGCAATAGCACCACTGTTCCCCTTCTTCCCCACTGAGAGGCACAGCAAACCAATGGAGGCAATATAGTCACAATAATTACTGGGCATATTCTTAAAAAATAAGTACATTATACATTTTCTACAGAAGCACCCAATATCTTTTCAAAATGGGGTTCAATTTCAGGATTAGAAAATGTGCATACTTCAGTAGATGGTCTTCTTAAGAAATTTATCAAGAGTCCTTATTTTATGATGAGTCATTTCTTCAGCGACTACTCAAAGTTACTTATGACCCATTACAATCATTGCAATACCCGTGTAGTCACATGATCAAAAGTTGGGAGCTCAGCTAGCTGGCTGCATATAAATGCAACAGGGATACATCAATTCCCCCATCTGCCTATTTCCCCTGTCCCTTTGGCTGCCCTGATCCCTGCCTTGTAGGGTGGCAAGCAGCCTCTGAGTGCAGTACAGTGCGAAGCCTCAGCTGTCCCAGCAAGTCAAAGCAGCTGGGAAGCCAAACTTTTGTTTACCTAGTTACCTTCTCTTTCTGCACTGATCATTCATCTTTTGTATTCAGCCACCATAGTTGAAGCAGAAATGCCTTATTGCCTTTGCTGTTTTCTTTTCAGACATGCTATCCCACATACTCTAGCTTCTATGGAGAACATTTCCTACACATGGCTCCCTAAGTTTTTTGAAAGCTAAACTGCCTTTGGTAAGCTTCTGAGGCTTGCCAAAGCATTGGGAATGTGGAGTGCTATTTGAAGAATGGCAGGTGTCTATATTCTTGTATTACTTTGAAAGACCTCAGAAGCTTTCTGAAGGCTCAGGGAACCATATGTAGGAAGCATTTGCTACAGAAGCTGAGATATCCCCCGACACTTTCACATTGGGCAAAACCACTCCCGATCTTCCACATTGGGTAGCATTCTTATTTGTGGTATGCTGTTGAGCCAGCCTGGGGAACTTTGTGTAGCGAGTGTTCGCTTTGTTCCAGAAGCTTTTTGCAAGAGTATTTTGACACACCATTGCTCAGGGGCTGCTTTTAGGGTTGGTTTTTTTTTTTTGGTGAAGCCAGAGTGGGCAGGCCTTGTCAGCAACAGAGCAAGAAAATAGAAGGTCAGCTGAGGCAGTACAGCAGTAGAGTGACAGGGGTCTCGAGTGCAGGGTGGTGAGGGCAACTGCAACTGGGATTAGTCTGGGGTGGCTCTGGCTTCCCAGGGCATGGCAAGCAGTCCCAGAGCCATGCAGGCCTGGGGTTACTTGTTGCCCCACAAAGCAGGTGCAGGGCAGCCAAAGGGCAGAGATAGGTGAGTGAGGGGAGTTGAAGAAACTAAGTCCAGAATGGCTCAGATTCCAGTGGATAGTCATTTAACAACCTACTATTTTCAGCTAATGATAGCAATAGGGAGGGCTAGGGTTCTTGTCATTAGTTGGTATGGTCCTATAATGTCTCACTTTATGACCACATTGCTTAGCAATGGAAATTCCAATCCCAATTGTGGTAATAAATCAAGGACTACCTGTAAATTGCAGCCTTGGCTTGCTTATCTTATCTATATATTTTACATATAGACCTTGGAAGTCTTCTGGTCCAACCCCCTGCTCAAGCAGGAGACCCTATACCATTCTGGATAAATGGCTGTCCAATCTCTTCTTAAAAGCCTCCAGTGATGGAGCATCCACAAGTTATGGCGGCAAGACTTTCCAATGATTAATTGTTCTGACAGGAAATGTCTCTTTAGTTCTAGGTTGGGTCTCTCCTTGACACACTTTGTTTATAGGCTAGGAATAAAATAGATTGTTCCAGTCACAATCAACTATGAGCTATGCAGAATTCCCCCTTCATAAGTTGGGATAAAAGCAAAACAATAGACAGTAAACAACCATACAATGTAATGAATATAATAATCAATATAAAGCCCAGGAATAAAACACAATCAGCAAAATAATAACTTCAAATTACTTGAGGAAACAATCATTCAAACCCCTGGGCCTACCTAAATTATAGACATCCTAAATGCCAAAAATAGAATTAAAAGGTCTGAATGTGGTGTTCCATGGAAAGTCATGCTTCTGTGGCTTCTCAAGGTGACATTCCCTGAGCAAGAGGACATGAAGAGAGCATCACCTACTTGATCTTCTCAGGCAGGATGATGTTATTGGAAAAAGGCAGATATCCGGACCCTGAACCATGAAGGGCATTAAAAGTGACAACCAACAACTTGAACCACACCCAGAGGCCAACTGATAATGGCAGCAGCAGTTACATAGGTGCAATGAGAAATGCTTGTGACTATTTGGGTTGCCTCATCAGTTGTGTTTTCAAAATTCTCCAAGAAAAGTGCAAGATTGCAAACAAAACTTTTCATTCTAGGAGGAGTTGTAACTGTTGCACTTATTTGTTGCTCACTCCTTGAGTAGGAACTATAAAGTTATGGCTAATCCCTTTCAGAGCAATGCTGGATGCAGAATTAAAGTCAGAGCATTTCTGGAATTGGGAATGGGAGACTTATAAACCAAGTTCAATCTATCTTGCTAGAATTAAGCCTCAACCTGGTCCTCCTCATCCACACCTAAACATCTAAACAACATTTCAACAGGATCTCCTGTTTGGCCCAAGGGTGAGCGGTAAATCAAGTATCATCATATTGATATTTTATGCCATGAGAGCAGATGGCCTTCTTCTGATGCTGATTAGAATTGAGTGGGAGCTGAATGGATGGCTCAGAACACACTCTTCGATTTTACTATGATTTTAGTTTCTGTATAGGAATTGGCTCTTCGCCCTTCCAACAGCTATGTAGTAATGATTCAAGAAGTACAATTTCTTTGATAAACTAGCAGCAATACTAGAAAAAACTTCATTTGCTGAATTCCTGCCAGGCTTTAAGAGCATGAAACACAGCAAAAATGAATTTTCTTTTAAAAATTTTTATAATTGTTCTTCATAATCATTGCTGAAGATATATACTTCAAGCAACCAATGTCCCTATTTGACATTTAGTGGTATTTTATTTCAGTAACTGATTTTTTTTACAGTAATCAGTACTATTTAGTGTCTGATTGCATTGAAAACTAAAATGCATTGCAATGTGAGGATGTGTTTCTAGTTCCCTTCTTTCCGTCAGCACTTTCCATTTTAGTGAAACTATCAAGGAATCTCTACTTAAGCTAATGATTTGGACTTATCTTGGAGCTTGAAGTGTACATGAAGCCACTTTTAAATTCAGCATGATGCATCATAAACATAGAGGGTGTCTACAAAAACAATCAATATTCTTTTGTGGCTAAATCATAGAAAGAAGGTCAGTATAATAGTTAGCAAACAGTATTTCATGGAGGCTTACTGTACATATAAGAAGAAAAAAATACTTCCAAAGAATCCACTGTAATCTATCAGACATTTTGAAAGCCAGTTGGTATATACCACCATCCAATAAGTTGATACTGAATAAATTATTTTGTATAGCACTGGTGAAATAATATACAATCAAAAGGAATACTTGACAATAACTGATAGTTGAAATAGATTTCACACTTGAAACCTACTGAAATCAAGAAATGCCATAGAAATCTCAAATTTTAAAATTTTCACTTTGGGTGATCAGACAGGAAATTTACTGACTTCTAGATATCATGCATATTTGTTTCGACTTGATAAAAATCCTTGTGAGAAAAACAAAGACAAGAAGTAATAACAGAAGTAAACTTGCAAAAATAGCTAGATTTCCAGCTGACTCCAATATTAAAAATAATATGGGGACTTATGTTGCTTTTCAAATTTGGAAATGTTCCTATATGAGATTGATACCATTTAACTGACATGTTCAAGGAATACAATTCAATAGATATTCATGCCATTAAGTTATAGATGTATATAGAAAAAATGCACTGGAAAGATTCATTAACAATCTAATCCTGAGCAGAACAGACAGTATCTCCCAGGTGTATAGATAATCAAGAGAAGATTAATTTTAGTATAGTGTGCTCAGTTCATCAATCCTATTCTTTGGTTTCAAATGCCCACTATTGAGCATAAATAGCAAGTGATACAGATATGAAGGGCTGAAGGGTTATATGATGGACTGGAAGGAAGGCATCACTAGCAAAGATTGTTTTTCCCCAATACACATGGGTGGCATGCAAAGGGAGGTACTCAAGCATCATATTGCTCTATAAGAGTTTCTTCATCTTGGATCAGGTCTAGTTTTTTTGCTATGCTTTTTGAGAAAAGTAAAAAAGTAAAAATCCCTGGGTACCTGAATAGACAGAACTCCAGCTAGATTTTGGGATGGAATTTAATCACATTTATAAAGTCAAAACCAGCCCAAACAGTGAAGGGAAGTTTTGATCTAAGTAAGGAAAGGCTCATATTGAGTTTCTTCCTGCTTCTGAGGGACATGACTATGCAGAGATTTTGTTGTCGTTTTTCATCCTCAGGAATTAAAAGATTTGTTAATGAAGCTGTTTTATATATAGCAGGAGCCCCAAACCTCTCCACTCATGGCAATCAGAGCAATGGCTAAAGAAATACATTCATAAATGTCTCCAGGGAAACTGGAGAACCTAATTTTTGGACCAGAGTGCATTCCCCTCCTCTCACCTCTCTAAAAAAATAATGCTTTGACTTTGAATTGCACTTTGAGTTAACACTCTTATGAAATTTTGAAACAAGATTCAGCATAGAGAGTCTTACATAAAGTACTGCTGCATTTTTGTTCTACTCGTGCAATGCAATTTCAAATAATTTTCATCCTACAGGTATCTAAAAGTGCATTTGAAGAATATATCAAGAATGTTCTAATTGGGTTGCAGTTTCACCACTAAAAATTCTCACATTCAGGTTGTGCAGATTATATTTGTTGAAGCTGTCTACACAAGGGACTAAACTAGAAATAGCATGCAGAATGCATTCCTATGGCTAGCTGAATACAAGAAATCTGTTGGAAAAGAGACCCACTTTTTCCTCAAGATGCTTCCTGCCACCTCTTCCTGAGAATAGAAAGCTGCTTTCAGGGAATATGGGAACAATTCCAACACCTGGCTCAGAAAGTTTTCATAAAGAAATTGCTATGATGATCATCTTGGCAATAAAAGTGAGGCACTGCTGTAAATAAAAGACAGTTTTACTCAAAAGACAACAAGTCTGGGCTATGACTTTCACCTTCTAAGGTTGGTATCTTTGCTTCTGAAGGCATCTTACAGCTTTGGTATTCAGGAATGCGTTTACCAGCAGTTAAATCAAGTCTAAGAGCCACATTTTCTGGGAGAGTAGAAGAAGGTATACCATGAATTGCACTTTGTTTGGGCTCCATATTCTTCTTATGAATGAGATCAGGCACATCAAATGCCCTATTGCTGGTTCCAACTTTCCCCTGGGTCAATGAATTAATTTCTCTAAAAGCTGCCTCTGTATTAGTGGGTGGGCACTGAAGTTTCCGGAGTTCCTCAGGAAGTAAAATTTCTGTAGTCTTCATCTGTGGTTTGGAAGCAATCAGTAGATCTTGAGTGGTTTTCAGAGCTCTTGGAGTACGCTTTTTGGTACTCAGTGGGGGTGGATTAAGCCTTGGAATTACATTTGTTGATGTCTGCCTAAAAGTTCAGGAAAGATTGATTAAGAGAAGTACTGTGTTTTCCCGAAAGTAAGACCTTCCCCAAAAATAAGCCCTAGTTTTGGGGCAAGGTACATGCCTAAAAATCAAGCTAGGGCGGGGGTGGGCAGGGTGGAGCTGCTCCATGCACCCCTTATCTGCTTACCATTGCAGCCAGACCTCCCATGAATCGACACCTGCCTCGCCTCATCTCACCGACCCACTTCTACAGCATTTTGCTGTCAGAGGCTTTTGCTTCTAGGCCTCTGCAGCCTAGAACTTAGTTACAGATTCAATCTGTACTCGGTTCTCGGCTGCAGAGGCCTTTCCGGAAGGCCTCTGATGGTGAAATGCAGGCTGGGGGGGCACGTCAATCCAGAGCTCCATTCTCAGCTGCAGAGGCATTTCCTTTGGCTGCAGAAATGGGATGGCTAGGTGGGGCTGTTCAATTTGAAAAATACTTGTCAGTGAATCTATTCTAGACCCAGATTTGAGTTGCTGGGATTCCATGACTAAATATGGGCTCTTCTACCACCTGGCATATCATGAGAGGATGTGTATATGTAGTGAGCCAGCCACCAAAGATATTGCTCATGATTGTCAACTATATGCCCCTCTTAGGTTTAGATACAACATCCCTAGTTGAAAGAACAGCCCACTGGAATCTGACTTGCAAATTGTCCTATTTCCTCCTGGGCTCTAACCTATATATTGTGAGCAGAACTGCTAAGTTTATAATTAAGGAAGTTATTATTATTATTATTATTTATTTATTATTTATTGGATTTTTACCCCGCCCTTCTCCTTGCGGACTCAGGGCGGCTTGATCTAAGTTGATCTAAGAACCCATTATATCACTCAAATTCAGGTATCCTGTAAAGGTAATGTATTTCTCTGAATGCTGGTTCTTTATACTTGTGTATAAAGAAGGTAAAATACATATATATAAAACATGTATGTATTTTATTACTGGGTTTTCTTTTATCTTTTCTTTTATCTTTTATCTATTTTACCCTGAAATTAGATTCTGTATTTTATTTTTGTTTTATATTTTTTGTCATAAGACCAATTAATAAAGTATCTTGCAATTAATAAACTAATAACTATCCTTCTTTTGTAATTAATCTCAGGTTATAGGTTTGATTATCAATAGCTTTTTCACAAGAAACTTTACTAGACTTACTAAAAGCTCTTTTTGGCAATCAAGAAACAGTTAATACTTTTACAACTGTAACATTTTACCTTCAGGAAGTAGAGAAGATATCTAAATAAGACATCTTCTTCATGTTTCTAGAGAAAGCATTTTCCAAAACTTCCACACAGTAGTCCTAGTGCCCATTTACTTGAAAAAACTTAGCAACATCCCCCTTTTTAAATTTCTTCCATCAAAACTCAATTGTGATTTCCTTCTTGTCTCATTCTAAGCCACCACCATCAAAGCAACTTATGTTTGATTGCATCCTTGCTGGGCTGCCTGACAGCCTGAAGCTTCAACTGTTTGCACCTTTTGCTTGCGCACATACATCTCTTTTCCTCTTTTAACCGTGGCTTGCCTCACCTCTCTATACATACTCTCCAAAGAATACATGCATTAAAACCAAGGAGATAAATGCTTTTTTTTTTGCTTTCAATTTCACTCAAAGCACTTCCCCAGAATAATTAAATGAATGAACCTTGGTATAAGTGCAAGAGAAAGTTTGTTTTAGGGGGAGGGGACAATGTATGTACCATCTACGTACATACATTGCTACATACTTAGCAATGGCTAAGACAGAGAACAGGGCTTCTATTTATTTATTGGTGAAATACTCTGCATCAGAAACCCAGTCTCTTCATTGCAAGTAGTTGTTACACAGGAAAATGAACAGAGAAATTTAGGTTTAAAGATATCCTCTTGAATATTTCATCAGTCTGAATTCCCCCTCTGCTTTGGACTTGTTATAATAAAGTTATTTGCCTTTCAAGACCTCTGGCTTGGCCTATAGCAATATCTCTTTCTTTTAATTTTTAACCTCATCTCGAAGGAGTGAAATGTGAACGGAATCATTTACCTGAATTGTCTCCTCCTCTTCCTCCCTTAGCAAAGGTAAGACTATGGTTAGATTAGTTAGTGGCAGAGAACCAGGAAGAAATTATTGCTTTTTTTAATTTTGCCCCTGATCATATACCCCAGATCTGGGAAAGATGAAAAAAATAACTGCTAACAAACTCATAGAGCCGCTTACCTATTTGCCTGGTCCTGACCTCCCAGCAATGTGCCTTGTCCAAAAGGGAGGGCTGCCTCTGCACGCTCATTGACTTCTGTTACCCCAAAGATGCTCTGGTTGGTGGGCTCTTTCCTGCGCAGGAAATCACTGACTTTTGCACCAACAGACATGCTGAGGTTTTTTAGATGTTGACTGCCAGTTTTCCACTCTGGCTGCATTCGCAGATTTGTACCAGTGGAGGAACGGAAGGCAGATTTGACAATGGGCAACTTTGGTGCCAGGGTAGTATTTGAATTTTCAAACATATTTTGGTCAACTAAAAAAGAAAGAGAATGCCTCTGTAAATAGGAGAGGTGCCAGGCAGAGATATTATTCAAGAGAACAATGGAAGCAGCAATGGAATTCAGGTTGGTACCTGTTGCAAAAATGTGGAAAAATCTCAACTTTCTTTTTCTTTTTGATTTCCTGTGCTAAATTAAAATCAACTTTCATATTTACCAAGAAAAGTTGGGCTTCATGCAAGGCCGGTATTTTTTTTTTAAATTTCTTGCTCCTCCCCTAGTTTTTAATTCATTTTCCTGCTAAGTGCTATTGGGAAAACCCAACTTTAGTGAATATTTTTAAACTTGGAATTCCATCATAACACTGATCCAATTTATCCTAAAACAAAAGAGGAAAGACCCTCCCCTGAGTAAGAGCCTGGTGAGGCAAAGAAAGAACTGTATTTCATAGATCTGGTCCTCTGCAGCAACTCAGTTCATTCATCTGTCTTTCTTTCATCTTGATTTAGGAATTTTCTGCCATGTAGAAAAAAGTAAGCAAATTAACATAAAAGTAGTAACTAATTGATCAGCATTAATGATCATATTTTATTTACAATCAATACATCTTTACTGCTTTGAGGCAGTAAAGGAATTTGAGATTTGTCTGTCAAATGAGACAGAGAATTTGACTATATCTGAGGGAAGAAAGAAAAAAATGCTGGGGTTTTTGCAATGGTTCACTGAAACACCATTCTTTGTACTGACTGGAAAAGCCCAAAGCTGAAAATTCAAGATAGAAACATCTGTATTTTGGTTCTTAAGAAACAGAAATTAGGAGAAGCAAAAATTTCCATATTTCTGGCACCTTTACAATGGTTGCAGTGTCCTATGGTCACATGATCACCATTTGTGATCTTCCCAGGCAGTTTCCAATAAGTAAAGTCATTGGAAAAGCAAGCAAGAAGTTGTGGTCTCATGACATTGCACTTAACAACTGCAGATGATTCACTAATGATGGCAACCAGAACTGCCATATAAGTCAATATACTGCAAGGAGGTGAAATTGGTTAATATTTGGTAAAACCTATGTGATAATGGAAGATCCAGCAAAATGAGCAGCACCAGGCAACTACAATCCAACTACCTGTTCACCAACAACTTTCAAATTGCTAACTGGTGTTGTAATTGATGCAGTCCAACAACATCTAATTGAAAACAAGTACTTTACACCTGAGTAGAAAGGAAATTCCTCAAACAGAGGAGGAACAAAAGATCAGCTCCTAACTGACAAGATGATTTTGGAAAACTGCAAGAAAAGGAAGACCAGCTTGAATGTAGCTTGGATGGATTACAAGAAGACATTTGTCTCCCTGCCACATAACTGGATAATCAAGTACCAAGAAATAACAGGAGTCAATAGAACTATTAGGAGCTTTGCACAAACTTAAATGACACAATGGAACACACAGTTGTTGGTCAGTGGTAACACACTGGGAAAGGTTAATATCAAGTGAAGAAACTTTCAAGGAGATTCACTAATATTACTTATGTTTGTCACAGCACTTATTCCTCTGTCTACAACAGTAACAAGTCAGGCTATGGCTACCAAATGTAAAAAATATCTGTCGGGCTATCCTACCTCCTTTATATGGATGATCTGGAAAAACATCTGAAATAGAATGACTACTCAATACTGTCCTTATATACAACCAAGATATTGCCATGGATTTGGACTGTATAAATCTGCTACTCTACAATCAAGAAGGGAAAAATATTGAAAACAAAAGAATCACGATACCCTATGGAAATATATTACATCTGGATGAAGATGATTATTACAAATACTTGGGCATCCTTTAAGCTGACAACATCAAGCACACTGAAGTCAAGAAGAAAGTTGGAAGTGAATATATCACGAGAGTGAGGAAAACCTTAAAGTCCAAGCTTAAGGATGAAATACCATCAAGGCAATTAATACCTGGGCAATTCCAATCATTAGTTACACCACTGGAATATTGACTGGACTCAAGGAGAACTAATACAAAACAAAAACACAAAAATCCACTAATGAATCATATCCTTTATCTATGCAGTAATGTTGAAAGACTCTACTTATTAAGGAGCATAGTGGATATGGAATATTACAAGTAAACCAGACAATTGAAGACAAAAAAGGAGGATTGGAAGAATATTTGAAGGACAGTGAAGAAGATCACTGAAGTTAGTACAATTTGAAGGCTTATAGGTAATCCCCAATTTCCAAGTGTAATGAAGTTTGCCCATTATGGTTGCAAGTTGCGATGGTCATTAAACAAGGCACTCATGTAATTACTTTGCTTAACAATCTCAATCACAACTCTCCATGTTGCAGTTAAGTGGAGCAAGCGGTGCCTCAAGGGTTAGGTAGGTCCAGGCCTAGCATTGCAGCACCTCCCCAGCTCACACATGGTCTGTCCCAGGTCTCCCCACCCTCTGAGGCAACCTGTGCTCCACTTCCCGCCCCGCTGGGTCCCACACCCTTCTCCCTCCTGTCATGGCTCAGGTTGCTTACCTTTTCCATAGATCTCTTTTGGGAAGCAACCACTCTACCATATGACCTTTCTATACTTCAAACTACATGGCAGATTAGACTAAATTTTCATAGTCCACACTAAACATGCTTACATTCTCCAATTTCTTCACTTGACACTTGTCAGGCCAAAAAACCAAGAAAGTCATGTGATTTTTTTGTTTCAAGCTGATTTCTTCATTGTTCCACTCCCATAGACAGCATTTTGCGAAAATCAAGCATTCTATCTAAATCTACCATATTCTCTGAGAACTATTAGGAAGGGAATCTGTCTTCACTCTTTCTCTCACACAAAGTATCTGGTCAGAGCTGCTTCTTATTCCTCTGGAATACACCCCCTCCTTCCTGGGAATCCAGCCTACTACATTCTATTACATCTCTTCATCAACACATTTCTTATAAGTCAAAATTAAGTATAGGACAGTAAGTATCCTTGTTTATTTATCATGTGTGTGTGTGTGTATATATAAACCATTCTGCCTAAAGTGGAGAATTTTTATGACCTTTTACATTCTAAATGATAAAATTCCAATGACAATCTGAAGCAGGGGTCTTCAAACTTGGCCCTTTTATGACTTGTGGACTTCAACTCCCTGAATTCCTCAGCCAGCATGCCTGGCTGAGGAATTCTGGGTTGGAATCCACAAGTCATAAAAGGGCCAAGTTTGAAGACCCCTGATCTGAAGCATTGTTGGCTGATCTATTTTTTGTAGAATTAAAGTTCCAGCAGATTTTGAAATATTTGAAATCGCTTATTATTAAAGCTCACTTCTCTGGAAGGCTTATCATCCTTATTAGGAAAGAATCATCCATGTTTTCCAGTTGCCTGAGTAATTTGCAAAATGCTGCATACAAAGGTGTCTGTGTAATCTCTCAAAGGCCAATTTTGCTTCTCTCTCTTTCTATCCTTATCCAAATGCATTCAAACAGGCTTCTGTTCTCAAAATCTTGAATTTCTACACATAGAGCTTACTAGCATTCCTCTAAGCCTGATCCTACTGTTATTATTCTGTTTTCTTCAAACTTGCTTTTACTGAAAGTATTGTTCATGTTATCCTCAGGTACAAACTTTGGCAGATGCCTTGCTGGTTACTGGAACAGCTCCCTCCAGATTTATCTACCACCATAGAATCCTATGGCTGAAAAGGACCTTGGAGGATTTCTAGTTTAACCCCCTGTTCAAAGCAGGAGAGTTTATTGCATCCTGGAAAAATGGATGTCGAATCTTTTCTTGAAAATCTCCAATGATGGAGCATCCATAACTCTGGGAGGTAAGCTGTTCCATTGATTAATCATTCTTATTGTCAGGAAGTTTCTCCTATGTTCCAGGTTGGATTTCTCTTTAACAAACTTCCACCCATTGCTTTTTGTCCTGCCCTCATGCGCTTTGGAGAATAAGTCAACCCCCTCATCTCTGTAACTGCTCAAGTATTCAAACACAGTTATTGTGTCACCCCTAATTCATCTCTTTTTTAGGCTAGACACACCTAGTTCTCTAAGTGTTCATATGATATTTCCTTTCTACCTTTCCATTATAATTTTATGAACAGCTTCCCTAATTACTTCTATTAAATACTCTCCAGCAACATTGCAGAGAATCAGCCACTTGGATTACTTGCTGTATTACTTGTTTTATAACAAAAACTGAATCTGATGGCTCAATTGCCAAAAGGTCACCTTGTGATAAAACATATGCTCCTTCTCCTGCGAAAGCTGAGCCAGGTCATTGGTAGCAAGCCCTATTAATAGATGGGATTGGAGGAATTGCAAAGAATAAACAAAATTGCAATCTCAGAAGTGGGCTGAGAATATATTTCAGGAACCTAAACAAAAGGATAAAGCTCATATCAGAGACAGTATTCCCACAAATACTTCTCTGGATCAGTAAACGGTTGCATTTGTACTGTATGGTATCCTTGTTTTATTTTGTTTTGTAACTTGAGTGTTTTATTAGCTTAGCCTATATGATTAGTTTATGGTTTAATATAGTGTGTGAACATAGCCAGAGCTTGAAAATAAAAAAATTGAAGGAGAAAAAAAGACTATGTGAGTAGAATAATTAAGACTATATATTTAATTTTTCCTTTAAAAAGGTCCTAATGTCTATGTAGTTGCAAATATGAGGACCGAATTTACAAAAATGCCTGAACAGATCCAAGTAAAGCTCATTTTTCTTCTATGCACTCACTCACTTTCAGGAAACAAAGAACCAACAAGCTTTGATCCTCTTCCACAGCTCAGCAGACTGAGTCAGAAGCCAAAATTCTACTCTCAGCAGATAAACGTTGCATTCAACACCCCTAGAAGAGGCTGCATAGCACATTTTTCAGCACAAAGCACAGGAAACAAGAGATGGATGCCTGAAGGGGAGCGAAGGTGAATTTGTTACATTGTTTAGGCTAGTAACTTCTTTGATTTCTTCTCCATTTTGCACAAATTTTAAAAGAAATTATTATATTAAAAATGTGAGAAGAAAGCAGTTAAACA